GAATATTGGACATTTTCAACCAACTGTTTATCTTAAAGTCTATATAATGAATATTTTTTATTGTACTGTATATATGCTCTCATTTCTTGTGATCATTCGCAGAACTACTACAATATAATAATAACCTCATTACGACTCAATTTTTCGTAAATATAACAAATAATAATACGTGATATTAATTTGATTTAGATATTTTAATATTGATTAAATATTTAACCACGCTGTCTGGCGGTTTATTAGCACTGGACAATATTTAGGCATTTCGACATCAATTTAGATTTTCGACAGCCTAAATGTCGAACGACGAAATATTTCGATAGAAGCTCAAACATTTTGACTAACAACTCTCTACACAAGGATATGCTGTTGATAATCTAAGACATTATCCTCAACTTAATTCTTCATCTAACCTTAATTTCTGTTGATGAATTGATTAATTCAATATTAATTACTATTATTATTATTATTATAATTTCCGTAAATATCAGCAATTTCACTCTAAACTTCCAAGATGTTCGACAAATTTTCTAATGCTATTCTTCTTCATTTTTTACTGTGATTATCTTAATACGCTCAAATCTTTAATTTACAAGTAAAAATCTAAATAAAGTTGTATGTAATAACAATGGAATACAATTTTATTTTCGAGCACAGTGTCTGACCCGTCAGGTTGTAAATGTGTTTTTATAAACTGGCTTGCACCCTATATAGAATTGGTGAAACATAATAAAAATTTATAACTTTATTTAAGGTTCATTTATATGTATAGATAATAATACATATTATCATATTATTAACTGAAAACCTTTCCCCTTTATTTTTTTTGTAATGTATCGTATGTATCGTATGGATAACGCACTCTGTTTTCCTATTTTATTTACATAATACTTTTCTTGAAACAAGATTATTGCTATTGTGAGATGAATATGCAGTTAAAAAACTTGATTATATAATATTTTTGTCTAATTTAGGATTAATAGCCTTAGTCTAGAACCATTATTAAATGGCAATCATTATTCATAATCACCAAAATTTATGGTGTGAAACATATTTCTTCAAAGAAAATAAAGTTTTGTTGATTTTTTGTTTATACCATTGTCAAAAAACCTATCTAAAGCCAAGAATATGCAACATGTATCATCGTTGATTGGCGAAATGCGAATTATATAAAAATCAATATTTCTTAAAGTAATAGTAATAAAACATTAAAATTCGATTGATCTAGAACCCCATTTTTTTTATCTAAAAAAATAACAAACTTAAAAATATTTAATTCTCGATTCATTATAAATGGAAATTATCGAATGGTAAAATGCGGGTTAACAATAATAATTTAATCAATAGCCAGAATCCTGAATCATTATTTAATTGTAGAATTTTTAAATGACAAAACGTCCCACTTAATTGTAAATCCAGCTTCGCATTATGGGCTAAATGCAAGAGAATGAAGAGTAAAAGTGAGACACAACCAAATTGATTTACTACTATTAAAGTCTTTGAAGCATTTCAATATTAGAAATTATATTGAAATAATAATATAATTAGAATTGATTGATCATTTAAAACAAACATAATTGGGAGTACATTTATTTATTATATTTATATAATAATTAAAGTAATTTTTTTTAAAATTATACTGGTTTTTATTACTGCTATTAATACATATTATTACTATCAATATACTACTACTATTATGCAACATCATTGCATTAATTAATTTTTTTTCTTTTCCAAAAAAATAATCTATGGCAAATGAATAATTGTTATGCGAAAATTATTATTTAACACTAGTAATTGATAGATAATATTTGACTTACAGTAAACGTTTGTCGATGTGTACACCTTAACAAACGTTTAACTATTGTTTAAAAAAAAATTTTTTTTTTTACCAGTAATAGAATATCAAAATATTCTATATAGTTGTTGATATTACTGTAATAATTACTACTGTTAACATACTACCCTGGGTCATGCAAGCCCCCTCCCTATCGGGGATCCGCCAAGGCTTATATGTATAACAACTAATATACTGCTATTAATAAAAGGCATTGTATACAATATTGTATTAATTAAATTTTTTCATTTCTAAAAAAAACAGTGTAATTGTTACGCGACCACTATTATTAATAAAATAAAAAATTTATCACCATCATTATTTATTCGAAAAGTAAAAATTATTAAAGAATGTTTCATTTTAAATAAATAACATTTTTTTAAAAAAAATAATTAATTTTATACCAGGAATCCACAGCTCCCCCAAAGCGAACTATTATTTATTTTGAAATAATAAAATAGATAATTTTTACATTTTTAAGAGACCAAAATTCCTATCTATGTAATGGTGAAATTGATAAATTCATTTTTCGAAATTTCAAGACCACGCATGAATTAATTAATGTTATACGCAGCACGGACTCGGACCCGGGACATATCTGTGTCTTCTCAATATTAATATTAGGCGGGGACATGTCCCGTGTACAATGATTATAAATAGAAAATTTACTATTACTATGTTTTACTAAGGTATCCGCAAACTACCTTTAACTTCACAAAGTTTTTTTGAAATAACAACAACAAAAAAAATTTTTTATTACTATATGATTGGATACATGCTGAAAAATGGGTTTTGTGTTAATTTTCGTGTCATGAAAACTATTTTTTTAGTATATTAATATTAATATATTAAGAGAGGCTCGGAAATAATTTATCCTCGCCGATCATTATATTAATATATATATTTTTTCTAACGTAAAATGAGTATTTATCTATTATTCAAATGATATGGCTATTTAATTATAAGCAATACAAAAAAAAACAGGATGGGCAGATATATTATTTGCAATAATTAGATCATTTTGGGATTTTATAGATAACTTGCATTTTAAATTAGCATTAAATTTGATTAAATAGATTTTGGTTCTTGTATAACAAGTTGATCACATAAACCAAGTAATCCAATACCTTTTAGAATAGGCAACTTTTCCAAACATCAGTAGGAGTTGTTCCAGCATGTGTAGTTCTAGTACGTGTATAAACGAATTTTCCTTGAAAATATATATTAATTTGACAATTTTGTCATTTATTGATTGATATATCAAAGATTTTTTTCCAGAGTATCTGTAATGAAAAGGTGAACAATGGCCAGAACCTGCAAATTCGACTCTTCTTCATCTGAGCTACCAAATGCTGCTATAAGGCTCCGAACAAATCAAATCGAATTTTGAGTGATTTGATTCGATTTGATTCAAATTCAAAAAAACTGAATTCGATTTGATTCGTGACTCGATTCGAACCAATTCGAATCAAACCGGATTCCTAAATTTTTCTTAATGTCATATTAAATACAGTGAATCTCAATGTAGTGTACCTCAATTTAATGGATAATAACAGATTGAGGTTTAATAATAATAATAATAAAATTCTTTTCAATATAACGGATTTCTCGATATAGTCATAACGGATAGACACATAATAACAAGAAAAATTTTATATGTTTTTATATGTGAAGCAAAAATTTTTAAAAATCCGTTATGGTAAGAATTTAATTATTATTATTATTTATATATAGTCTGTTGTGACAAGGTTAATAACGGATTTTTAGAAAAAATTTTCTACGCCCAAATTATCTGCTAAACCAAGATTGTGTATATTTTAAATTTTTTTAATTGATAAAGGATATTATAGCCGAAACTGTTTTTGAAAAAAAGATAGTTTCGTCCAATACATATAATAAGTATCTACTTTTATTTTAAAACTCCCAATTTCAGCCATTAAAATTAGTTTCGTCAAAGTTTAGGCCAATTAATTTCGGCAATTTTGGCCCACTAAGTGTAGTTTCGGCCACCATTACTAGTTCTAACCAGTTCAAATCAAATTGAATCGAATCAGTTCGAATCAAAAATTAGGTGATTCGATTCGATTCGAATTCGAATTTGATTGATTCGTTCGGAACTTTATGCTGCCACAAGACTTTAATACCATTAGTAACAATTTCAAATGGAAAAAATAAAACATTTACCTGTAGTTTTTCAACAAATATTTTATCATCAAAACCCAAAATGCTTGGTCCAGAATAATGTGTTGCTTTATCAAAAAATTTTATAATTTCCATTTACCACTTCACTTGATGTTGAATAAACCATTGCATCATTATCTCGTTATCTGCCTCAGATAGATAACCAGGCTTTATACCATTACTTGTATTTACAACTGTTCGAATAATATATTCTTTTTTATTGAGCTCAATCTTAATTCTCATATTGATTCTTATCGGATAACATATTTTTGTATTTTATTCATCAATAAAATCCCATTACTAAATGGCAAATGGACTATGGTGGATATCTTGACCAATTTCGCCAGGTTTTAAAAGTATTTTTTGACATTGAATTAACAAGCAGAAACGCAGATTTGAGAAAAAAGTCCCTCGATTTATATGAAAATGATCTCCGATTAATAGACGGATCGTCAGATTAATTAGATAAACCTTTTTTTAATAAAATATATTAAATCGATTTATGAAAGGAATTAGGTATAGTTTTTTTTGTTGAAGTAGGATAATATTAAAATTATAAAATCAGAATCAAAAATTAATAGACTTGTAAATGTTGTTAGGAATCAAGAATATATTAATAAAGATGTCATTTTTAACCAAATTAATAATGCCAATGACTTTCTCCACAAAAATTAATAATTTGAGATCAAGACTCACAATTGGATCAACAATGTTTAATAATAATAATCAATATGGTTTAAATGGATATTCAATGATTAGTCGTGGAATGAAAGTTAGATCATCTGTTAAAAAGTTTTGTGATGGATGTTCAACAGTTAAAAGACGTGGTAAAATTTATGTTATTTGTAAAAAAAATAAAAAACATAAACAAAGACAAGGTTAATCATGACAATAATTATAGATAGAAATGGTAATAATCTTAACCTTTGATCACAATAATAAAAGATCAAATAAATTTATTCATTCATCTTCATTAATTATTTTTTTAAATTTCTACAAAAGTATCATTATTAATCCATGAATTTCCTCCTTCTCTCAAGCAACGTTCATTTATCTCACTTCTAATAGTTTTAACAAGTTCTTTAACTTGTTCTTCAATTTTTTGTGCACAATTTGTCATTTCTGTTAAATTCATCTCTGAACTTTTTGAGCAATAATTGCTTAATAACATTTCTTGATTAATCTTGATTTCCATTAATTGTGATGCTAATTTGTCTTTTTTTTGATAATAAAATATAAGTGAAATAATATATTACAAGTGTTATTATAGTGTCATTATTTATTTACCTGATTTATCATCAATATCCATCATATTAGCATCACCTTTATTAGCATCATTTTTACTCTTTATTATTGTTAATTCATTCAATCTGGTTAACATTGCTGCTTCTACAAAAAATATTACTTCGGGTGATTGACATGAGATTTTTAATTCAACTTCAATAAAATTTTTATTTTTGCATTGATTATCATCATCTTTCATCATTACTATTAAACATTTTTTTATGAATACCAAATTATTATTATCAATTAGTAATTATATATTATTATTTACCTTTACTTAGATTTATTGTAACAGGGTCTAAACTTAAAGGTGTAATGAATATTGCATGATCTGCTGATTTTATGATATTCTTTAATTGATCTCTATATAAATGAAATAAATAATTAATTCATATGTGGATTTCTTCATTTAAAGAAAAAACACTCACTCTTCAAGATATTCTCCTAATAATGTGCTTAAACATTTCTTCCATGTTTTAATCAAATCTTCAACATCATTAAATGTTGCAGTAGTACTACATTTGTCATTTTGACTAAATGGTGATGATGGTGATGATGACTTTAAAAAGAATTTAATAATTGCTGTATTGATATTTAATGAAGAAATGAAATGTGAAGTTGATTTATTTTTTGTCTAAAAAGAAATTTTATAAAATTTAATTATTAATTATTAATTTATCAATATAATTATTTACACACATATATACTCTTATAATTATTAAATAATAAAATCAATTGATTACCTCAATTCCATTTTTTATATAATTATTTTCATTAATCAATTTTTCCAAATTTTTTCTAAATTCGCTTCTAGTTGAACAGAAATCAGCTTCAAGTGAAGGAACAAAATCCAATGAACCTTTTTTATAAATCTTGTTTTGTTCTTTTAATTTTTCTAAAATAAATTCTGGACAAGGTTTTATAAAATCTAGAATATCATATTGGAATTTTCCCAAAGAAAAATATTCTGATTTTGCTTTTAATTTTTTAAAAAAAAATTTAGTAAAGAATTATATTAGTTATTATTATTATTATTATTATTATTATCATCTAAAAAACTTATATATATATAAAATTTTTTATACATTTATTAAGTTTTTCATTAAAAATATTATTTGGAACTGGAAGTGAAAATGTCAAACCAAGATTAATCATTATAGGAAATTGTAAAAATCTTAAATTTATTTCTACATCATGTTCCCTATAATAATAATAATAATATAGATATTAAATAAATAAATAATTTTTCGGCAATATTTTTGAAAAATAAAAAAAATTTACCATATTGATGTCATATCAGATAATGAGATGGAATAAGTTAAAGTCTGTAATGGTTCTTTTGGTAGTTCATTTGACTCACTGTTATTATTAAAAGTTTTACTATCTTTTAAAGCAACAATTACTATCAAATAAAAAAAATTAATACAATTATTAAAAAGTTAACCTAATTTTTAATTTTCATATAAAAAAACTTACATGACCAGTGTTTAGACCAATCAATTCCTAATCTATTCTTTAATCTTATTTTTAAAAAAGTTTTGTTTGTTATACTACTTGTCAATAATGATGATAAAAATATAGGGCTACATTCAACTTTAATAAAATGATAATCATCACCATTATTGCTATTGCTATTTATTATAATATCATCTTTCTTTTTTTTAATTTTATGTAAATTATTTAGTACATTATTTCTTATAATTTGTGCAGAATTTAAATTCTATTATTATTATTTTAAAAAAAAATTAATACAGATATTAATATTATTATTAATAATAATAAATCTAATAAGACAAATAAATAGAGTTTTTACTTGAATAAGTTTTTCATATTCATTTTGCCTTGAGGAACATTTTGCTATGGAATTCAATTGTTTTCTGATTTGTCTTTTTAATTGATTGGAACTTAAATTTTGAAAATTTATATTGGAACTAGCAATAATAATAAAAGATAAGCAAGTAAATTCATTAGTAACAATAATAATTTGTTGTTGTTGTATTCAATTATTTAAATGATAATGACTAACTCTGTAAATGTAAATTTTCCAAAAATAAATCTACCATCTTGAAATATTCCACATAATATTCCACCATCATCAAATTCATTTAAACAACATATTCTAACACATCCGTTTGGAAAATCAATGAAATCAGGATTTAAAGTGATAAATTGTTCTATAAATTTTTAGAAAAAAAAAATATATATATATATATGAAATACTAAAAAAAATAAATGTTATGACATTCTAATTGATTAATTGATTATTACCATTTTTGTAAATCACTTGATCAAAATTTAAAGATATTATTTGTCCTTTATCAACTGACATGATCGATCTATTCTAAAGTAATCACTTTGGTATTAACATATATAGATATATATATATACTTGCACATGTATAATACTTGACAATGTATTTCCTACCTTATAAAGAAAAGATGAATGAACAGTATTTGGAACATGATATTCTTTATATGCAATTGATGCAATAGTAGAATCCTGTTTTGAAGCAGAATCAATGGTAATCAAAGTGATTGTACCCTCTTCACTAAAAAATAAATAAATCAGTCAAATATTTTTGCTTTTTTCTAACAATGCAATAAAATAATTAGTTACCCAACTATAATAAATGCATTATGAATATCATCTGAATTTCTCCTTGTAAAGTATAAAATACTAGATTCTGGAGTACTTTCAAATTTTAAACATATTGAATATATAGCTTGAATTGGTTCCTTTTTTAAAAAAAAAGTTTTAATTTAATAAGCTTATATTATTCAAAAAATTTTTTTAAAAAAAAAGGCCCTCACATTTAATGTAGTAAATGCTTCTGGAACAGAGTTTAGTGTTTGAAATGTGATTAATCCATCTGAATAACCAGTTAAGAATATCTTCTCCTGTAAACTAGAATATATATATCTTAATTAATTTTTCTTTTTTATCATTTTTTTCACAAATGTTTCTAATTTTAATTACTTTTCCAATCCAAATATTAATGAAGCAAAATCATGATTGATTAATGATATTGATGAATCTGCTGACTTTTTTCCTTTTAAAATCTTTGAATCATATGGATAAAGTGTTGAATTTATTGTTATTAAAGAAAATATATAAATAAATATATTGTATGTATATAATAAATTGTTAAGGATATCAATTAATTGACATTTAAATTTTTGATCTTTGACTGATTCTTGATTAATTGAATAATTTAAACTATTTGAATTTAGAGATTTATAATCATCATTCATTGATAAAAATTCCATCTCACCATTCTCACATCTAGTTAAAATACCATGAACATTTGAAATATCATATGGCATTAAGTAATATATATTACTCTATTAATTAACACAAAATTTGGGCATGAGTAAATTATATTTATGATGAATATTTTATAAAAATTATAAAAATATTACTTTGGTATATTTGTAAATAATGTCTTTTTCATAGAATTCAATTGGATGCATTCTTTTAGAGACCGGATTTAATCCAGTAGTATCAGATGTGAATGTGGATGATTGATTGTTAAGTGTATCAAATGTTCTTTCACTATAAACATAACATATATAATCAATATTAATAATAACAAATATTCTATACTATATTAAATTAAATTTTATAAAATAAACCTTTTCTCTCTCTTTATATGCGACTCAACTCTCCAAAAATTCCCATTATCATCAAGAACTATACAAGTAATTATCCAATCAAACTTATTTACTTCTTTACTATTACTATAGCTATGATTTGATGAAGAATTTACAAGTGTCACATCAATGATATCAAAAGGAAATTTCCAGATTTCTTTTAAAATATTCTTATAAAATAAATGAAGTCTATTTGGTAAAATTTTAATAATAATTATTATATAATCTTGATCTTTTTTATTGAATGGTTTTAAAAAAATATTTTTAATTGTTGGTGTTGGAAGTCGATATGAAGTTTTAATTTGAATTTCCATCTTTGAAATTATAAACATTTAATCACGTGAATTATTTATTGCCACAATTTTTTACTCCTAAAAATAAGATTATTTATTTAACAAACCTAAACAGTAAATATTCTTTATAGAGTTCATTATTTAATATATTTCCTTAATACTAATAAAAATAATATAATTAATCTATATAGTGAGTGTGTTGATTGAGACTACTGTCGGTGACATTGTTATAGATCTTCATACAAAAAGGTGTCCACAAACTTCTTTAAATTTTATTAAATTATGTAAAGTTAAATATTATAATTTTTGTTGTTTTCATAATGTTCAAAAGAATTTCATGGTCCAAACCGGAGATCCAACAGCTACTGGTAAAGGAGGTGAATCAATATTTGGTATATTGCATGGTCCGTCACGAAAATATTTCCCAGCGGAAATTCATCCTAAACTAAAACATAAAAAAATAGGAACTGTCTCGATGGCTGTTGCAAATGATGATGGTGGTTCATCATCATCATCAATGACAGATAATACTGGTGTCAGTGGTTCCCAATTTTTTATTACAACAGGTGAAGATCTTGATTATTTAGATGGAAAGTATACAGTGTTTGGTGAAGTTGCTGAAGGATTTGATACACTTGAAGAAATTAACAATACTTATTGTGATGAATCTGGTAGACCATACAAAGATATTAGAATCAAACATACAATAGTGCTAGATGATCCTTTTCCTGATCCTGATGGTTTGATCATTCCTGATAGGAGTCCTGAACCAACAAAAGAAATGTTGGAGACAATAAGGATTGGCGAAGATGAAAGTATAGAACCAGAACTTCCGCCCGAGGAATTGGAAAAACAACAACGACGAACGGAAGCTCAGGCTGAAGCATTGACATTAGAAATGATAGGTGATATACCTTTTGCTGAAGTTAAACCACCTGAAAATGTATTATTTGTATGTAAATTAAATTCAGTGACAAGGGATGAAGATTTAGAAATGATTTTTTCACGATTTGGCCCTATTAGTAGTTGTGAAATTATTCGTGATAAGAAAACTGGAGATTCTTTATGTTATGCATTTATTGAATTCGAGGATAAAGACGATTGTGAAAATGCTTATTTCAAAATGAACAATGTGCTGATAGATGATAAAAGAATCAAAGTTGATTTTTCACAATCAGTTTCTAAACTTCATCAAGATTGGATTTCTACTAAAGTTAGGAAAAAAGTTGATGGCAGTAGCAGTGGTGGTGGTGGTTATGGTGGCTTTGAAGGTTTAGAAAAACGTAAAAGATATCGTGAAGATGGTCCTCTTATACACCCAAGAAAAAAATAAATTGCAAATTTATATTTATATTATATTTTTTAAAAATATTGTAGTGTCTGTAGTAGTTATTCTACATAAAATTAATATTAATAAACAATAACAAATCTTTTCTAATTAATTAATTAATAAATAAAATATGTAATGGTGTTATTGATTAACACATGCATTCAACATTAGGTTTAAAAATATATTTGTCATCACCAGATCTTAATTTTAAAATAACTTTACTCAACCATTCTTGACCTTGCATTTCTATTAGTCTGCTAACAGTTCTTTCAAATGCAAAAATTTCTTCACCTGTAAATATAGGATTTGATTTGTGTTCATCATAACTTAAACCTAAATCATCCAATAACGAATGCTTATGATGTATTGTTGTTATATAACGCATCTATTAAAGTAATGAATCTTTTATGATAAATACACTCATTCTCTTATTTGTTCAATCAGAATATTTTTTTACAAAAAAATTATGCTTCCAATTAAAAACTTTCATAATATAATAACTCAAACTTTATCATCAAGAAACTTTTTAATTCAAAGACATCAAATACCTGATATAAATTCAATATTAATACTACCATCGCCATCAGCAATTCACCATCATCAAACTACTTTAAAAGATTGTCATTGTTGCTGTTTGCTCTGGAATTTTTCAAAATATAAAGATTTCATTGCAACTGGAACTAATCAAAAAACTCTGTAGAATCTCAAAAGACATCACAGCCTAACACAAATAATAGTCATGTCAGAACATCATCAAAAAACTATAGTGCCATTGTAGATAGTCCTGTTATTGACGAGAGTAATTTACGTTCACTAGAACTAAAACATCTTTCAAAAGATTTTATTACACAAAAAGGTATGTAAAATTTTCTATTCATTTTCTTTTTTTTTCTATTTTCTCTATATCTTTTTATATATGTGCGTGTGTTTAGATGGTCCTATTTCTAGATATAACATGATCGTTACTTCTGAAATTATTAGGGGTGATGTTTTCCAGTGTAGTATTATAGAAATACTTTAACATTTACATGATAATTTAAACGGATATGATCTACCTCTTATAACTGATTCTAGAGACAATGTTAATAATGATTCAATATTTGGAAAGTTAAGAATTCATCAGTTATTATTTATTTTCAATAATTTCTATAATTACTGTGATTATTTAATTAATAAAGTTGGATAAATTTTAGCTATCAAAATTATTTAGTGTATCAGATAAAAAACATATCTTTTAATAATATCAAAGGATTATATTTATACGGTGATGTAAGAACGGGAAAAGCTATGTTGATGGATCTTTTTACGATGCTTTGTCTGTTAAATGTAAATGTCGTGTACACTTTCACGCATTCATGCAAGATGTTCACAAACGTTTACACAGGTATAAATTAGCCAATTCCGCAGCATATGATCCAATTCCTCCTGTTTCAACTGATTTAGCAAACGATGCTATTGTATTGTGATTTGATGAATTTCAAATCACTGATATAGCAGATGCAATGATATTAAGACGTTTGTTCGAGTATTTGTTTGAGAGAGGTGTAGTTATCGTCACAACATCAAACTGCATCTACAAAAATGGAATTCAGCATAAAAGCGGACAATTTCCGAAAGGTTACACCTTTATCCCTCAGTTCGTAGGGATAGAGCCTCAGCCTGGGAAAAAATATGAGGGATATCAATCTTATCGATCTTTAGGTATCAGTCGGATAATTCACTCAAGATATACGGACCGGGTGATCAGAGATATATCCGTGCATTTATATTTATCCCTCGCCAGACTAAAGCTGTATCCCTCTGAACACAGGGATAAAGGTCAGACCTACCCAGAAATTGTCCGCATATGGTGAAAAGCTTTATACTGTGTATTGATTTGATAAAGGAAAAATGTAATGTGCACGCATAAATTCAGGAACTGATTATTGAAAGATGTCACATAAAATAACAACAACAAGTACTTATTTCACGCTGTTGAACAAACAATCAAAATCAGAAATCAATAAAATGCTTAAAAGATTGACAACAGGCAAGCAAGTCAATGAGGCTAAGTTGGAATTATGGGGTAGATATTTTACAATACCAGAATGTCTTTAAGTTTGAAAATGAAGCTAAAAATAGAATCAATCATGTTATAAATTTGGCAAAAATAATATTTGTGACACAAAAAAGATAAATGTGATTAGTTTTTTTGCAATTTCAATTTTATTGAGAACTTCACAATAATTTATATTTTTAATACAATTGGTTGATTGATTCGAAGTCGAACCTCACTATCTAGAATATCAATGGAAAATGGTCATAATAGTAAAATATTGTCAATTATTATTGGCTTACCAAAAATGGTACCTACTTCTAGGGTGGGTGATCAATTCAAAGAATATTTTTCTAGTCAGGTTTACTATTAATATAATGATAAGTATCCTTAAAATTTTGCCTAAAAAGTACCCATTATATCTTAAATTTAAATTTCATTGGTTAAAATTACTTTCAAGTGACATTTCTAACTATAAATTAGTATATGGTACACGTCACCTATAAACATCAAAAATGGTCACCTGACTTAAAAGCTTTTATTAACAAATTCAAAATTTCGGACTAAAATTCTTTCCATAAAAAGTAAGTGATCACTGATAATTTTCATTAGTTTATGTCGCACCAATAAAAATATCCATTTTTTTTTTAATATTATTATTTTATAAAATGCCAAGACCATCTAAAAGAAAATTACACACAAGAAACCTAGTAAATAGTAAAGAAAGAAATTCTA